GTAACATAGGCGATCACTATAGCAAATAGAACTTTGCTTCGTCGACAACCCCACGACATAATGTGATATGGGAAATTGCCTGGCCTTTCTTAAAATTAACAACTAGCTTACGATCAATGGGCACTTGTGGCAGCGAGGCATAATGATTGACGTGTCGAGATTATTTTCTGCATCGTCATTGTTCGAATCCCGCTATGCGTGATGATGAGACCAGATGAGACTCCTGTCTGGATAAGAATACATTTTTGGAAAGCATGGCTATATCAAATTCAATGAAAGGTCTGCTCATGTTAATGTGAGAAAATTCAATTGCCAATTCCAGCATCACGTTAAACGAAATAAAAGATGAACATATTTCATATATCTGATTTATTGATAGTCTCGAAACTCATCTTACGAACTTATTTGTCAAGCTTAAAATGGCATCCTGCGTTATGCTTCAGGGCTTGATTTCTTGATTTCTAAGATGAATATGCCCTCTAATTGGCCGTCTCCTCTACCTCGGCGCTGCCCCCATGTCCTCTTTTTCCCAATCAGAGAGCCTCTTGGCGGTGGCCACGATGATGCCTCACCCTCTGAGGCTGTTCGGGTGAAGCTACGTCCGAACGGTCACTCAAACAGTCCTGCCGAGTTGTCGCGCCCGATGGCCAGCCTACGCATAAGCAGCGGCGACGCCAGAACCAACCGGACGAGTGTGAAGAGCGGCTCACTTACTCCATTCTCCCAGCGTCTTGGGGTGCTCACAGAACCCACCGACCCCGAGGACCTGCCTGAAATGGTGGCGCACCTTCGGAGCAAGATAGCCATGAGCATAAAGCCGCTAGAGGATGAGCCAGACTTCCACGTCAAGGACGACACGTGAGTGACGCTTCTGAAGAGATCGCTCATGTAATTGTTCGAGGCATCGACCAATTTAATCACCTATTCTTTCAAGAATGTCAACTTCTATTTAAGCCATTTTGAGTGTATCTGCATATCTTGGCGCAGCATAGGTTGTTGAGTTTATTTTTTCATTTTGAATAAAAGTGTTAGGTGAAGAGATGTAAAAGTCGATCCCATCAGAAGAGAACGGCGGACTCCTCTTGACGACCTTTCGATTGGCTTTACTGGGACATTCTTGTTGACGCTGTTTCTGAAACAATTATGATATAAGAGAGTCCTCGAAACCCAATTTTTTTCGCGTCTTCTTTAAGTACTCTGAGTTATGGCATATATTTTGTGTA